ACATCCAGTTTAAAAGTTACGGGGCTCTGAGAGCCTAAATGGACTTCAGAGCCTGGCCTTTCGCTCTGCAGACGTGCAAAAGCAAGAGGCTGGGTCGAGGCCTCTGTGGGCAGCTGGCCGGCCGCGGCAGAACACGGTCTCCTGCACCCGCTGCCTTTGACCTTGGCTGGACTGCACACGGACCGGCACCATTCCGCTCGCATTCCTTCAAGGCCTCCTCCCGCGGCTTTTGAAGTCGGCCTCCCCAGCCGCCCAGCTTTCTGCGCGGCGAGCAGGCCCTTTGCTGCGCTGCGGCCTCCGATGCCAGCTCCACAAACAAACCCCCATTTGTTGCCTCTAAAAATAAGCCTTTTTAGCTCTGGACCACATTCAGCTCGCTCTCCGGCTGAAAGGTTGGTTGCTTTGTGGCTGACAAATGGAGGCTTATATCTTCCCAGAAGGGCCGCAGCCCAGCCTGTCTCACCGACCTGGGTGGGCAGGTGAGGGGAGAGGCTCGGGGCTGGAGTCATGAGCATCTTCCAAGATGGGCTTGGAAGGAGGGACGGGATATAACAGCTGGGAAGACGGCACCGGGCTCTTCCAAAAGAAAAACACAAAGGCAGGAACCCGGCCAGCGTGGCTCCGTGGTTGAGCGCTGACCTATGAACCAGGAGGTCAGGGTTCAATTCCCGGGCAGGGCACATGCCCAGGTTCAGGGCTCGATCCAGCGAGTGGCGTTGCAGGAGGCAGCCGATCCATGATTCCCTCTCATCACTGATGCTTCTCTCTCTCCCTCCCTCTCTCTTCCTCTCTGAAATCAATAAAAATATCTTTAAAAAATAAACCAAGGCAGGAATTAGGCCATGAAAACAGGAAATGCACAGTCGTCCCCCCTCATCAGTGACAGATTAGTTCCCAGACCCCAGTGGACGCCTAAAGCCACAGACAACACCCGAGTCCTACATGTATGATGCCCTTTGCTATACACACGCACCTACAATAAAGCTTAACTTGTAAGTCGGGCACAGTAAGAGACGGGCACCCCTAGCTGGTAAGAGAACAACGAGATAATGTCCTGGAGTGGAGGGTACGAGGGCGCGGTCTCGCCCACTGGCACCGGCGCGGAGACACTGGGCAGAGCGGTGACTCACAGCCGAGCTCCGAGGACAGAGCAGATGGCCGACGGTGTCATCACAACGCTACTCAGAAGGGCACACGACCGGAAACTTATGAATTGTTTATTTCTGGAATTTTCCATGGAATCTTTTCAGACTGCCATTGGTCGCAGGTAACTGAGACCGCGGAAAAGAAAGCTTCAAATACGTGAAGGACGGTCCTTTAGGCTCCCGCAAGGACGCCGCCTCTCGCACACGGAATGGGTGTAGTGGGTACAGAGGCACGACACCACCCGGCGGGGCCACCGCACAGAAGGGAACGCGGCCACGTTATTCCACCGGGTGGCCCTCCCTGATTTCGGTGATTTTGCCGGTTGAGGGGTGTGGAGTCCTGCCGCAGGTGGTCTGTGTGAGTCTGTGCCGCCAGTGTCAGTCCCGTCGGGGACAGGAGACGGGTGGCACCAGCCTGGCGGGCCTGTGGCCGGCACAGGAGCTCCGAGCCCTGCCGACTGCCTCTCTGGGAACTGCTCGTCACTTGTGAACGAGGGGCTCCCAGCCCAGGTTGCAGTGAACGGTGGGGCTGGTCCTGTCGGCACCCAGGTCACAGGGCTGTGGTGAGTGGTGGTATGTGGGGGCACTTTACTGTTCGGCTGAGGTCCCAGCTCCGGTCACTGTGCCGACCTAGACCTACGACTGCGTTCAGTTCTGTAAATCCCACCGGAAGTGGAAGGCGCCTGGCGGAGAGGGTCACCCCTCTCCTGCCCCCTGGGTTTTACGAGGGTTCCTCCAGCTTTGAAGTGGGGCTCCCTCCCCCGCCTTCCTGTCCTCCCAGTTCTTACAGCGCCCGGGCTGGGCATTTGGTTGCATAATAATTACAGACAGAGAGTGGGAGGGTGGTAATTGGTTTCCATTTGGTTGGAGGCACAGGCCCTTGGGACCAAGGGCTCCAGAGAGGAAGATAAATGGAATTATTTCATTTTCTCACGTGACTTAGAAACCCTTAAAGAGATCAGATTAGGACTAAAACCTGATTTAACGGAGAGCCGCAGAGGGGCAAACAGAGGGAAGCCAGGCCTCCTCTACGCCCCACAGCTGCCTGGCCGCACTGCGCTGTCCACCCTCCAACATCTCCCCCACTCGCCCCCGCCCTCTCCCCCCTGGGCCTGCACAGCCCCAGCCGGACACAGCCACAGCCCCTGGCTACACTCGGACTCAATCCCGTCCCTGGACACCCTCTGTGATTGTTATGGTTTGATTTTTTTTAACATATATTTTTTATTGATTTTAGAGGGGAAATCAATGACGAGAGAGAATCATTGATCGGCTGCCTCCTGCACGCCCCATGCTGGGGACCAAGCCCGCAACCCAGCATGTGCCCTTGGCTGGAATTTAACCCGGGACCCTGCAGTCTGCGGGCTGACGCTCTATCCACTGAGCCAAACCAGCGAGGGCTGTTACGGTTTGATTTTAAGAAAACACACCAACAGCTTTATGGAGATAGAATTCCCATGCCGTACAACTCACCCATGTCAAGGGTACAGTTCAGTGGGTTTTGGCACATTACCTCATTCCCGTTCTGAAGTTGTGGCAAATACATGCAACATGCAATTTGCCACTTTAAGTGTAGAATTCAGTGGTGTTCGTCACATCCACAATACTGTGCAACCATCACTCACCACTGTCTATTTCCAGAACTTTCTCATCACCCCAAACAGGAACTCCATCTCCCTCTTCTCAGCTGTTGGTGACCTCTCATCTACTTTCTTGCTCTGAATGTGCTGATTCTAGATCTTTCCTGCAAGAGGCATCGTGTTGTGTCTGGTTTATGGGACCTAGCCCAATGTTTTCAAGGCTCACCCATGCTGTCTTATTGGAAGTTCATTCCTTTTAAAAATATATATACATATTTTTATTGATTTCAGAGAGGAAGAGAGGAGGGAGAGAGAAACATTAATGATGAGAGAGAATCATCAATGACGAGAGAGAATCATGGGTCGACTGCCTCCTTCACGCCTCCTACTGGGGATGGAGCCTGCAACCCGGGCCTGTGCCCTGACTGGGAATCGAACCCGGGACCTCCTGGTTCACAGGTCGACGCTCAACCACTGAGCCACAGGCCGGGCACTCCATCCTCCTAGGGGGCCACGCTTCTGTGGGTTTCCCGCATGCTGGCCCCTTTCCCTAAACGGTCCCCCTTCCCAAGCACCTAGCTTTTGCTTGGCCCCTCCTTCCCATCTTTCTCATTCATCTTGTCCTGGAAAAGGTCCCTCACCCCTCCCCTGCTCCCTCTGGCTCGGGGCCCCCTCTTCTGCCCCTTCTGGCCCCTGTTGTTCATGACTCTGGCTCGCCTGCCATTGCCTGTCCAGGTCTGTCCTCCTGCCTGTAATGGTACTGATACTGACCTGGCACTGCTAAGTTCCAGCCTCCTGCCCAGGCACCTGGATCAGCTCACTAGAGCCTCACAGAGGAGGCAGCGGGCTGCCGCCCAGTGAGCGACTGTGCCCGCGCATCTGGGAGCCTGGGTGCCCACAGGACCGTGGGGCGCGGCCCCTTTCTGGGACCCAGTTCATATCTCAACCGGGTGGTGAGTGGACGGGTGGGGTGACAGCCCACGAGGGACCTGAGTTTGGGGCAGGTGTGACACAGGGAGTGGCTCCCAAGTGCGAGGCACCCTTACCCACCACCCAGCCTCAGTTTCCCCAACTGAGAAAGCCCACACGACTCAGGCCGGAGCGTCACTGAGAAGGTCCAGCCCTCGCCGGCTTGGCTCAGTGGATAGAGCTCCGCCTGTGGGTCCGGGTTCCATCCCGGGCAGGGCACAGGTCCGGGTTGGGGGCCCCATCCCCAGTGGGGGGCGTGCAGGAGGCAGCCGACCAATGATTCATCATTGATGTTTCTCTCTCCCCCTTCCTCTCTGAAATCAATAAAAATATATTTAAAAATGAGCAAAATCAATGGAGAAAACATCCTCGGGTGAGGATGAACAGCAAAGGTAAATAAATAAATAAATAGAAATGAATAAATAAATAAGAGGGCTCAGCACTGTAATGCAGACTTTGAACATCACTGCGCATCGCGGGCCCGTCCCCTCAGCAAACACCGACACTAATGACGGACCCTCCCGCCGGCCGCCCCGGGAGGAGTGGACCGACGCCGTCCGTCCGTCCGTCCGTCCGGGATCCTCGCCGCCGCGCCCCGAGGAGGGTCGCCCAGGTGGGCGGCGCGTCTGGTCCCGGTTTCCCGGCTCCGTTTGCCCGGGCAGAGCCGCCGGCCGCCGGGGCAGCGCGCCCGGTCCCGCCCTCGGGCCTCATTATCTGCGTTTCCGCGTCGGGCCCGGCGCTTGGCCGGCCTCCCCGCGCGTCCGGAACACGCCGTGCCGGGCCCGCCGCCCACGGGGCCCTCCGCCCTCTCCCGGCGCCGCCCGGGGTCCGCGAGGTGTGGGTCCCGGCGGCCCAGGTACCCGCTTCCGCAGCCACAGCCCCCTCGCTGGTCCCGGGTCCCCCTCCTCCCCGGCCCGGCCGCTCGGTGCGCCCCTCGCCCGCGGGACCCCGCGCGCAACCAAGAGGCGGGGCGGGCCACCCACTTTCCGGGCGCGCGGCGCGCGTGGGTCCCGCCGGGTCCGAGCGCTGCGCACGACCGGCCGCCCGAGGAGTGAGTGAGTGAGTCGGAGGCCGAAGAAACCGGATCCGGGCGGCCGCCCGCTCGCCGACCCCCGCCCCCGGCGGCCGCGACCTGGGCGCTGCGGGGTCTCGCCTCGGAACCCGGGAGACGGCGCGCCGGGTGGCTCTGCACGTGGGGAGAGGCGGTCCCGGGCGGCCGCGTCGCACCTCCGGGACCCGCCTTCCGCGGCCCCACCCTCCGCGGCCCCCGCCTCGGCCCCGCCCCGCCCCGGGCGCCCGGGCTCGCTGCGCGGCGCTGGCTCCAAAGTGCGTCACGGGCACCGGCCGGCTCCTCGGAGGCCAGGGCGAGGCTGGCGCGGGGCCAGCGCGGGCCGGGCCAGGGGTGCCGGGCCGCCTTGGGGCGGGGACCGGGCGTGGAAGTCGCTCTGGTGGCCCGGCCCTCGGCGCGCGGTGGGGGGCCCCCCAGCCGCGGGGCGCGCGAAGGCGACACTGGCTCTGGGCCCCCCTCGTTTCCTCCCGGCGGCGGGCGAGATTTCCTCCCGGGGAAACGCGCGGCTCCCTCCCGGGGGCCCGCCCCGCCCCGCTCCGCCCCCCGCCCCCTCCCTGGCTGGGAAGCCGGGGCCGGGAAGCAAGTGGCAGGGGCCGCGGAGCGCTGCCGCCCACTCACCCGCCATGTGACGCCGCCTCCTGCCAGCAGCCCCCCGCGCCCCGCGCACCATGCTCCCGCCGGGCCCCGCGCGCCCGCCCGCGCCCCCGCCCGCGCCGCACCCCGGCGTCCGCAGGCAGGTGGAGCCGCCGGGCCAGCTCCTGCGCCTCTTCTGCGCCGTCCTCGTCTGCTCCGGGGAGATCGCGGCGCTCGCCGACTTCTCCGGTAAGACGCGCCCCCGCCCTCCCGTGCGCCCCGGGCGGCAGGTGCCCAGGTGAGCCCTCGGCCCGGGGCAGGCGCCCGAGGGGGCTCGGCTGGGTCGGATGAAAATTGGGGTGCGCTCCCTGCCAGTGTTCTTGCCTGCGGTGAGCCTTTAGCATCTGGTGGCTGCGTGTGAGGCGGGGCGGGGGGGGCGCCCCCACCCCCACCCCCATGGAAGGGGGGTCACCTGTTTGGAGCTGGTCGCCGGCTGCGGACCTCAGTTTGCCGGCGTCAGCGACGCCTCCGAGGTGCTGTGGGCATGCGGCTCCTGGAGCCCAGCCTATGCCCAGCGCGGGAAAGGCACGTGCGGGGCCCCGGGTGCACTGGGCTAGCCACCCGCACCGTCCGGGGCGCATCCAGGGAGACCGGCCCGGGCACACCTGACCCGAAGTCTGCCTGCCAGCGGCGAGGGGACCCCGAGGGAATGGAAAGTCGGGGGAGGTGAGCAGAAGCTTACGGAACAGAGAGGAGCCTCGGGGTGGGGGCGGGGGCGGGGGCGGGGGCGGGGCCTGACTACCTCCGAAAGGTACCAGCACCCCCTCCCTTCCCAGTCTCCCTTAAACCTAAGGACTTTCTCCATCCAGCCACCCATGAGGCTGCTCCTCCGGACACTGGGGCCGGGGCTGTAGGTTGGCACCGAGGGAGGGTGGACGAGGGTCTGGCGCGGCCTCTGTGACCGGTCCTTGCCTGGAGTCACCACCCTCCTCCCCTGTGGTCTCCCTCGGGGAGCCTCTCCCAGCCCAGGAAGCAGCTCTGAGCCCCTCCCCTTTCCAGCATCTTCCGCAAGGCCAGGTTTGCGCGTCCTGGAGGGCCTGCCGGCAGGGGCTTTTGTGGTTAACTCGGGGTGAGGGGAGCTGGAGCCCCGGCCTCCTGCGGGCGCCCAGGACGAGGCGGGCGGGAGCTCTGGAAACCAGAGGCGAGTTGGGTTTCTCGTTTACTCACAGAGCCGGTCATTGTTAGCCCAGAGCCCTCTGGTCAGAGGTTCTTTTCTCTGAATATTTAATATCAGGGCAGTGTTTCCACCTGGCAAAGGAAGCCAAGATATGCCAATTTGGCAAGCAAGCCTCCGTCCTTAAAAAAAAAACAGCCGCTGAGGCGGAGGGCAGGGAAGGCTCTCCCAGCGAGTGAGCCATGGACTTTTTTGGGAAAGGACTCCCTTCCCCGATCGGGAAGTCCTGCGTGTGCCGATTGCAGCGGGGAGAGCAGCTCTGCCTGTTGGAAGGGGAGAACTGAGCCCACAGGCCCTGGTGACATCACTGCGAGGGAACAAATACCGCCGCGGGGAGTGCGTGTCACCGGGAGATTGAGCAGATCAGGGACACGGTGCCGGCGGGTCCCCACCCAGGCGCGGCCCACGTGCGGCCACTGTTCCGAGGGTGGACCTGAGCCACGGACTGGAGGCTGCTCCCTGAGGGCGTGCTCGCCGGACACCCGTCCTTCTAAACGGCCCGCCTGCGTGAGAAAAGCCATTTCCTTCTGCTCCTGGTGGGAGCCTGCATGGGGTGGAACCCGCCCCAGCCAGTGGGGGGGACGGAGAGGGGGGAGGGAAGGCCGCCAGCCTCACCATCAGCCGGGCCCCCAGAGATCCCAAGACTAGGGAGAAAGGTCAGGGCCCTTTTGTGGAGAAGAAAACGACCCCCCCCCCCAACCACAGAGGCACTGAGGCTCTGTCTGAATTCTATGGGGGCGGCATCAGACACGGGAACAGGGGCTCCTGCAAAGTGGGTTCATGTGACTTGAGCCTCAGGGACCCCTGACCACGTGACGGGCAGCCGCAAGAAGCATCCTGAGCTCCCAGGTCGCAGGCTGAGTGTGCCGTGTGCCGTGGAGGTTTTTACTCAAAGCGGTGGGTGCAGACGTCACCCCCGCCCCCCCCATGCCACTCCCCTGGCCTCAGCCCGAGGCCTGCTTTCCTGGGGGCGGGCAGCCCTGTCCCTGGGCATGAACTTGGGGCGGCCCCGCCCCCTGGGGGACGGACCGCTGGGGGACAGGCAGGCAGCTTTCCTACTGGAGGGAAACGCCAGAGACCAGCCCAGGGAGGCTCGAGGGAGCCGGGGACCCCTTGACTTGCGAAGAGGGGGATGCAGGAAGGATGGTGTGTCCGCGTGAAAGAAAGTGCCGGAACATCCGGTCCCGGGGTGTCTGTACAGGAGGGAGCAGTGCAGGGCTGGGGAGTTACTTAAGCCTTTCTCATCTGCACCTCCCCCTGCAGCCTCTGGGGGCTGTCAGCTGGGGCAGCTTTCCCGGGTCATTGATTTTCCCTTTGCCCGGGGGATCCCAGCATGGATCTCGCTGGTCGTAAGCCCGAGGCTGCATTGTGAGTCCTGCTCATCCCCTGAGCCTGCTGGGAAGGGCTTCAGAGCCTCTCTCCCTCGCCCTGAGGGCAGGAGATGCTGCCAGCGTTAGGAACACCCCCAGGAAGGCCAGAGCGGCTCCCGCAGAATCAGCGTCCTGGACCCCGACCCTCAGGTCCACACACAGACGCACTGGGCGCCCTGTGGGCGGGCTCTGCTCCTTGGACTGCGTTCCCCAGTTGCGGGTTTGGCCTGCGAGGTTCGCATTGACCACGATGAAAAGAAAACACAGAAATATCCCAGCAGCCGCATCTTTGCTCCAAGATCAAGGCCAGGGTGAGGCTGAGCGGAGGGAGCAAGGGAGCCTCTAAGTTTCGCCTTAAAGGGCGATGTTTCAGCCGCGTCCGCACACTTTGTTCGCCGTCCCCGGTTCCGTTTGTGTTCTGGGTGTCTTTGGTGGATTTTTTTTGTGTGTGATGGTTTTAATCTCGTCGTCTCTCTGCTGAGGGCAGGCGGGGTCCTCTCTCCCTGCTTCTGCTCACTCTGTCTCTCCGGCCTTTCTCCTCACAGAAGGCCTGAGTGATGGATGGGCTGTGGAGAGGGTTGGGGGAGCAGGGGAGGGTGGGGGAGCAGGGGAGGGTAGGGGCAGGTGAGGGTAGGGGAGCAGGGGAGGGTGGGAAGCAGGGGAGGGTGGGGGGCAGGTGAGGGTGGGGGAGCAGGAGAGGGTGGGGGGGCATGGGAGGTGGGGGGAGCAGGGGAGGGTGAGGGGAGCAGGGGAGGGTGGGGGGCAGGAGAGGGTGGGGGGCATGGGAGGGTGGGGGAGCAGGGGAGGGTGGGGAGCAGGTGAGGGTGGGGGGCATGGGAGGGTGGGGGAGCAGGGGAGGGTGGGGAGCAGGGGAGGGTGGGGGGAGCAGGGGAGGGTGGGGGGAGCAGGGGAGGGTGGGGGGCAGGAGAGGGTGGGAAACCGTTCTTGTTCCCACTTGGATTCCTCAAGAACGCCAGAGTTCAGACAGAGCGGTCGGACGGTGTGTTTACACACTTGGCGTGATCCTGGGGCACAGCTGGGAGTGTGGGAAGAAGAGGGAAGAAGGTGAGGACCAAGGAGGGGGCGGGGCCGCTGAAACCTTCCCGCCTGGCCTGCCCGATTGTCCCCAGGCCTCAGAGAAAGACCTTGAAGGCCGGCCTCAGCGGCGCCCTCCTCCCTCCAGTGCAGCCCCTGCAGGAAGTGATGCCTGTGAGCAGACACAGGTACACAGAGAGGTTCCGACTCCCAGGCAGCCAGCTGGGAAACAAGCCAGTGGGGCCAGGCTGGGCCTCGGCCTTGTGGGTGCTGAGTGCAGGGCCAGCTGCCTGACCGTTCTAGACGGTTCATGGGGTGCCAGCCCTGTGTCAGCTCCCCACCGAGCAGGCTGACCTTTTCCGGTTCCTTCTTCACTCCTTTCCTCACCACTGCCCAGCCTGGGCTCGGGCTGGAGGACAGTCCTGTCCCTGGCGCGTGTGCCCACAGGCCTGCCTCTCCGGCAGCCTGGGCTCGGAGTCCACGTCACCTTCACCAGGAAGCCAGGCTGAGACCCACCACGCTACCCCAGGCGGGTGGTGCCTGGGCACTTGGCAGAACCAGACACTCGAATACTCCAGCGCAGCAGCGTCACCAGCACAAACCCCGCGAGGTGCTTGGGCGTGGCAGCCTGTTGGTAGGAACACACAGTCCAGACCTGCGTTGCAGGGGCTACAGTCGCGGTCAAAGCAGCCGAGTTCTCACAGAACCGCGGGACTGTAAACACGGGGACGGGAGGAGAGGCTGTGGAGTGGGCATACTGGAAAAAGAACCAAATGGATCTGCTAACTTTACTGAAACTGTGTGTTCACGAAAACGGTGTTGGAGTTGAAAGCTCAATGGACAGATGTCACTGAGCGGAAGAGAGACACGGTGAACCGGGGGAGGAAGCGGGAAAAGTACCCAGAACGCGGCAGGAGAGGTAAAGGCGTGACGCACGTTGGTAAGGCGTGGAGGATGGAGTAAAGGCTCGGCCTCCTGCAAATCCTGGGACGCGAGGTGAGGAAAACCAGGGCAAGGCAGCTCCCAGAGCAGCCCTCTCTTGGAGTCATTCTCAAGAACGAATGAAAGGTCCCGATTCACGCGTCCCAAGCAAGTAGAACACATGGACGCCTGTAACGTTGATGCTATAAGACCCTGAAAACGAAGTGCTGGTCTTGGAACCGTTGAAGAGGGTAGAGTACATAACCAACAAAGCCTTTGCAACAACAGCGAGAGCAGAAGCCGATGACATATTTCCCAGGTTCTGAGAAAACTGCCACCAACGCAGAACTGAACCCCTAAGCCAGCTCTCGCTGCAAGGTGCACAGGAGGCGCCGACGCTGACGCGTCCTCCCTGAGAGATGTGCTAACGGCTGTGCTTCAGGAGGACGGACACGGGGTCTGGAAGGACAGACGGAGATACAGTGGTGAGCACAGAAGTGGTACAACTTCGGGTGCTCTGTACGCACGTCCTGGCTGCCCTCCCTCAGCGGCTCTGCCATACCCCGGCCTCGAGGCCGTCTCTAAGGAACCCAGTCCTTTCAGCAGCTGCAGCCAGAGACAGTTTGTGTGTGTGTGTGTGTGTGTGTGTGTGTGTGTTGTTTCTTTTTTTTGTTAATCCTCACCCGAGG